TCAGTGATGATATATTAACATCAGCAAGGTGGGAAGGCAGAAGTTTTAATTTGGCTTCAATAGGTTTATTGTTTTCTTCGCTTATAAAGACCATTGATGTAGTTAACGTGGAGTATTGTATACCTTCTAATGTTTCTTTGGTATTCAAAGATGAGAAAATTCAGAAATAATGCAGCTAACAATGACTTATTAATGTTTTTTAGTGTGCCCAGATGAGAGAGTTCTAAAATAATGAGTCAAAGCCATATATCTTATAGCAATTTCAGGTACTTCTGACTCTTGGATTGTTGACTCTAAAGCAAGGGAGAGTTGCTTGAGGCAAGAGATATAAGTACTGATCACTTTGCTCCTTATGGGTGGAAAGTGAATAACAGTAAATAACCTAGTGTAGTATAGGAAAGTTTCAGAAATGAATACACCTGAAAAAAAGAGAAAGTAGAAGTATTTTCTTTCTTGATTGATTTCCATTTTAGAAGTTTACAAATTTGTATATAAAAATTAAATTCCTAGAAATTTGCCTCTGACATTTGTTTATAGAATACCAATCTGTTTTAGTGATTTTAAAGTAAATTTAAATATGTTAAAACTACTAGAGTGAAATTGGAAATATCTTTGGTTTTCACTTATCTTTATATGGCTTCTTGTAGAGAGAATTTAGAAATATGCCCTAAAATTAAAAATTTAATTTTTAGTTAAAAATTTCTAATGTAAGGGTAGCAGAATTCCTGCTTCACTTATATACAGCTTCAGGATCTATTATGTCCTTTGGACTTTTCAAGAACCTGGGGTTACAAAGTTCAGAAGACATTTCTTTGCCCTTGAGGGACTGAAAATGTGTAAGGAGAGGCAACTGTGTGATGTAATAAATGTGGTACGTGGTTTCGTAGAGTTTTTCCAAAGGAGAAACTGCCAGTCTGTGGGGAGCTTTATGAACGAATCCTTGCCTGAGTTGGCTTCACTGGGACAAGATGAATTCACTCAGAAGTGACACTGCAAGAGAGGTGAGGTAGGTGTTTCTTCTGTGCTAGGCCTGCTGATATGAAAAAAGTGCCATGTTTCTGAGATTCAATAAAGCAGCCATTTCTCAAATTGGTCTTCATGTTAGAACTGTGCAAGAAATACACTTAAAAAAATACTGATTCTTAGGTACTCCCATTCCAGTTATAAGATATATGAGGAATCTTACAATTTTCTCAGTACTGTACAGGTCTTTTACCTACTTGTTTAAATTTATTCCTCAGTACTTTTTTTTTTATATAACTGCAAATGGGGTTGTTTATTTCTCATAGTTCATTATTGGTATATAAAAATTCAACTGATTTCTGAATATTTCGTATCCTGTTACTTTACTGAATTTATTAGCTCTAGTAGTTTTTTTTTTTTTTGGAATCTTCAGAGCTCCTTATATGCAGTATCATGTCATCTGCAAATAATGACAAGTTTTACTTCTTTCTTTCTAGTTTGAATCCTTTTTACTTCTTGTCTGAATTCTGTGTCTAGGACTGTGTTGAATAAAAGGAATGATAGTGGACATCCTTGCTTTATTCCTGATCTTAAGGAAAATGTTTTTAGCTGTTCACTGTTGAGTATGATGGTAGCTGTGGATCTGTCGTATATGGTCTTTGTCATGTTGAGTAGATCAATGGAACAGAATAGAGAGCCCAGAAATAAAACCCCTACCTAGATGGTTAAATAATCTGTGACAAAGGAGGCAAGAATATACAATGGGGTAAAGACAGTGTCTTTAGTTAATGTGTGAAAACTGGACAGATGACATGCAAAACAATGAGGCTAGACCACTTTCTTATACCATATACAAAAATAAAATCCATTAAAGACTTAAATGTGAGACCTGAAATCATAAAACTCCTAAAAGAAAACATAGGCAGTAAACTCTTTGACATTGCTCTTAGTAGTATTGTTCATATATATATATATATGTATGAGTGTATGCATATGTATATGTATGTATGTATATGTATATATGTATATGTATGTAAGTATATGAATACACAGATAGATATTATCATATCTATATCTATGATATAGCTCTTTGGGCAAGGGAAAAATAAACGGGACTACATTAAACTGAAAAGTTTTTGCATAGCAAAGGAAACCATCGACAAAACAAAAAGACAACCTACCAATGATGTATCTGATAAAGGGTTGATATCCAAACTTTATTAAGGACTCATACAACTTAACACCAAACAACCGAATTAAAAAAATGGGCAGAGGCCCTGAGTAGACATTTACCCAAATAGAACATACAGATGGCCAATAGATATATGAAAAGATGCTCAGTGACACTGATGATCAGAGAAATGCAAATTAAAACCATAATGAGGTATCACCTCATAGCTGTCAAGAGTGGCTATCACCCATAAATCAACAAACAAGTGTCAGTAAGGGTGGAGAAAAGGGAACCCTCATGATTTGTTGGTGGGATTACAGATTGGTACAGCCACTGTGGAAAACGGTATGGAGTTCCCTCAAAAATTTAAAAATGGAACTGCTATATGACCCAGTGATTCCACTTCTGGGTATCTGTCTGTATAAATCCAAAACTAATTTGAAAAAAACATATGTACCCTTATGCTCATTGCAGCATTATTTACAATAGCTAAGATATGAAAGCAACATAAGTATCTATCAATAGACAATTGGATAAAGAAAATGTACATATATGCAGTGGAACATTACTTGGCCATACAAAGAATGAAACTTTACCATTTGCAATGACATGGGTGGACCTAGAAGGAATTCTGCTAAGTAAAATAAGGCAGACAGAGAAAGACAAATACCGTATGATTTCACTTATATGTGGAATCCAAAAAGCAAAACCAAACAAAGCAGACTCATAGACACAGAGAACAAATGATGTTTGCCAGATAGGAGTGAGGTTGGTGGCTGGGCAAAAAGATAAAGTGATCAAAAAGCACCAATGGGTAGTTACAGAATATTCACAGAAGGAAACATAAAGTACAGCATAGGGAATATAGTCAGTAATACTCTGGTAACTATGTATGGTGCCAGGTGGCTACTGGACTTACTGGGGTATCACCTTATGAGTTTTATATCTAACCACTATGCTGTACACCTGAAAATAATAGAATATTGAGTGTCAACTGTAATTGAAAATTTTAAAAAAGTCAATGTACTTTTTGAATACTACTTTTCAAAAAGTCAGCATGCTATAATTTGTCAATTCTGCAAGTACTGATTGATGTATGCTGTGTGCTAGTGCCTATTTTAGGCATCAGGTGTGTAGGAGTAAACAAACAGACCCCAAGTCCATGCCCTTAGATAGTAGGCAGGTACATACATCACATCAACATATTCAAAACTGAACTCAGTCTCTTACAAACTTGTTCTTCTACTTGTGTTTCCTTGTCTTAGTGAGTGAGAAAGCTTTTCACTCAGATGCTCAAAGCAAGAACTTTAATGTCATTTTTGACTCCTTCCTCCATCTCACTCTTGTGTGATCACGAAGTCCTGTTGATTAGAATGCCTACTTATCTCTCATATCTCTTTGCTTCTCCTCTGCTCTTGTCATTTTAAGCTGACCTCTCCTGCCTCTCTAACCGTCTTCTTTATCCACACTCTCCTGCAATTCATTCTCAACCGTGCAACTAGAGAGATCTTTCTAAAACATTAGGGGCTAAGGTCTTAAGGGCTAAGTCCTTTAGCCCCTAATGTTTTAATTTTTTATTAAATAAAGTTTACTTATTTTTGACAAATAAAAATGTTTTATTTAAGGTATACAATGTGATGCTTTCATATACGTATACATTGTGAAATGATTACCACAATGCAACTAATCAACATGCCTGCCACCTCCCATAGTTACCTTTTTTAAATGTGTGAATACTAGAGAATACTATTCCATTGGCAAATTTTAAGTGTGTAATACATGTTTATTATTATTGTCACCATGCTGTAGATTATGTTTCCAGAACTTACTCACTTGGTAACTGGAAGCGTGTATCCTCTGATTAGCATCTCCCCGTTCGCCCACCCCACAGCTTTTTGGTGATCTCCATTCTACTTTCTTTTCCTATGAATTTGACTATTTTTTCTTTTTCTTTTTTTCTTTTCAGATTCCACATGTAAATGAGATCATGACACGTTTGTCTTTCTGTGTCTTGCTTATTTCTCTTGGCGTAATATTTTCAAGGTTCACTCATATTGTTACAAATGGCAGGTTTCCTTTCTCCTTGGACACTGAATAATATTCCATTTTCTATGTTTGTGTACATCCTGATTTCAAGTACAGATTAATTTCTCCTCTTTTGACTTTAATGTAAAAAGAACCATATAGCACACTGTGCATACGTTTCTTTCCCTCGCTTTTTATTTATGAGATTCCTCCCTGTTGTGTCTCATGTTAAAACTTAGAGGGCAGTTTAAGGTCAAGTTCAGCCTTTGCTCTCGATGGTGGTGGGACCTGGTGTCTAGCTAAAGTAGAGTAGTTATTTTTTTATCCGCTTTTTCTCTTCTTTTGTAAAGAGAAACCGGGTTTTTCTTGTTTTCTTTGTTTGTTTTTGTCTGTATGCATTGGAATTCTTGGATTCACGACTCTCCAGCAACCAGTCTGGGGCGGATGCGGCCAAAAGAAAACCCAGGGACCTCACTGCTGTGGTATATTCCTCAGGTCCCGAGATCCCTAGTCTGGCCTCCTCCTCATTTCCCTGTTTTCATGCCTTATGCTTGTTTTTTAAATAATTACCAAAATTCGTCTGTCTTTAGTGGGAGAATTAGGGAAGAGCAAGCATGTCTGTTCCATCTTTCTGGAGGTGAAAGTCTATTTTACCTTCGATACCTGTTTTATAAATCTTTGCAATCATTAAGAAAAGTAAAATGAAGTATTCTCTGCATAGAAGGTCAATTAACAATGTATTTACCAAAACAAGAACTTTTAACCGAAATTCTGTTTATATGAAATACAAACTGAAGGACTTTAACCCTGTGAAAATTTAAATTCCTATGTTTCATTGCAGAATCTTTTAGCTGAAAAAGTAGAACAACTGATGGAATGGAGTTCTCGGCGCTCAATCTTCCGAATGAATGGTGATAAATTCCGAAAGTTTATAAAGGCGCCACCTCGAAACTACTCTATGATTGTCATGTTCACCGCTCTTCAGCCTCAGCGGCAGTGCTCTGTGTGCAGGTAACTGTTGCACCTGAACATTTTTAAAAACTGTTACCCCATATGCTTACATATTCATTTTATATGATTTTATAAGTATACATAACAGAATTAAACAGTCATTCAATCTTGTAGTCACATATAACTATGAGCACTTAAAAGTGAGCTAAAAATCATTGTATTTTAGAAAATGGCATTGATAGGTCAATATTATTTTATTGTATAAAATATTTATTGACAAATTCCACATCAAATTACAAAAAAAATATTTGTTACCTTTATGTCCTATACAAAGGTAAGAATGTCATAGGATTTGGTTTGAATATTGCCTGGTAGTTCATCTAATTGTATCTTGTAGACAGTGAGGTAACCCCTTTAGACATAATGTATTTTTACAGTCTAATAGAGAGGGCCTGCTTACTGGGGAAGTCCATTTCGTTTTCATGCAATCTGGAATGCATAGCATATTTGTTAGTAGAAAGATACTAAAGGAAATTTTGGACAAGTAAAAATATAATATGTATATAGCACATGTTGTATTTTATTTAAACCTTTTAAAATTTTTTTGAGATAATTGTAGGTTCACATGCAATTGTAAGAAATAATACAGACAAGTCATATACCTTTTACCTATTGCCCTACAGTGGTAATATCTTGCAAAACTGTACTGCATTGTCACAAGCAGGGCGTTGGTATTAATATAGTCAAAGCACCAGAAATGTTCCATCCCCATGAGAATCTTTCCTGTGTTCCTTTATTGCCACCTCCTATATCCATTCCACTTCTACCTCCAGAATTAGTTCTCCATTTCTGTATTTTGTCAAGATTGTTATGTAAATGGAATCATATAGCGTAGGACCTTTGCAGTTTTGCTTTTATTTGCTTCTTTTAATTTCCTCAAATCGATCTAAGTAGTTGCATTTATCAACAGTTTATTCTTTTTTATTACTGAGTAATATTCCATGGTATGCATGCACCACAGTTTATTCAGCCATTCATCTGTTAAAGGATATCAATGTTTTTTCTTGTTTTTGGCTATTACAAATACAACTGCTGGCATTTCTTGTACAGGTTTTTGTGTGAACTTAAGGTTTTGTTTCTCTGGGATAAATACCAGAGAGTGTGGTGCTTGGGTTGTATGGTGGTTGCATGTTCAGCCTCATAAGAAACTGTCTAAATGCTTTCCAGCGTGGCTGTGTATTCTGCATTTCCACCAGCAGTGTGTGAGGTAGTTTGTCCGTATCCTCACCAGCATTTAGTGGTGTTACTATTTTATTTTAGCCATTTTGATAGGATGGGGTGCTCCCTCATCATGGTTTTATTTTGCATTTCTCTAATGACTAATGGTATTGAACGTCTTTTTAAGTGCTTATTTCTCTTGTTGAACATTGTTTCCCATGTTTAATTGTCATTATATATCCTCTTCAGTAAAATATCTGTTCATGTCTTTTGCCAATTTCTAATTGGAAGTTTTTTTACTGAGTTTTGAGAGGCTTTTCTGTATTGTAGATTCTAGTTCTTTGTCAGATACACGGTTTTCAAATATTTTCTTCTAGTCCATGCCTTTGTTTTCATACTCATAATGGGGTCCTTTGCAGATTTTAATTTTCATGAGGTCCAATTTATCAATTTCTCCTTTTAAAGTTCTCACTTTTCTTTTTCAAATTGAAGAACTCTTTGTCTAGCCCTAGATCCCCAAATCTTTTTCTATGTTTTTTTCAAAAAGTATTATGATTTACATTTTGATCTGATCTTTGGGAGAAAGCATTTAGTCTTTCATCAAGTATGATATAGCAGTAAGATGTTTATAGATGCCTTTTCTTAGGAAATTCTTTATAGTTTGCTATAGTTGAGGAAATTCTTTATTCATAGTTTGCTGAGAGTTTCTATCCTCAATGAGTGTTGGATTTTGTCAGTTTTTGTTTTTTTGGTGTGAATTGATACAATTTTGCTGCTTTAGTCTGCTGATACGGTGGAGTATATTGATTGATTTTCAGATGTCAGACCTGTCTTACGATTTGGAATGCATTCCCCTTAATTGTGGTATTGCATTCTTTTCATGCAATGCTGGATTCTATTTGTTAATTATTTTATTGAAAAATTTTGCATCTAAGTTTATGATAGATTTTGATCTGTACCACTTTTATATCATTTTTATGCAGCTTTGTCTTCTTTTGGTGTCTGAGTAATACTGACCTCATAAAGTGAGTTGGGAAATGTTCCCTCCTCATTTATTTTTCTGGAAGAGATTGCAAAAAATTACACAATTTTAGAAGATTGTTTTACTGCTTCTTTAAATGTTTGATAGCATTCTCTGATAAAACCCTTTGGGCCTGCGATTTGTTTTCAGGAGACTTTAAATTACACATTCCAATTCCTCAGTGGTTGAGGACATCTCAGGTTATCTGTTTCTTCTGGGCTGACCTTGACCACTGTTTTCAAGAACATTGCTTTTTTGTGTGATGGCTCCACATCCAAACTGTGCACGTTGTATATTCATATGCAGACTTTATTTAGACTTCTAACTCATTTGGAACTCCAGTGGAAACTGAATTTATTAGTAATGTGGGTCAGTGAAAAAAAGACAAAAAAATAAAATAAACCGGTTTGTTCATATGACCTTGCAGAAAGGGAATCCCAGTGTTTTGAAATTTTTAAGAAGGACCTTATCACAATGTAATAATGAGTCTATATTGGTGCATGGATAAAAGTGGGTGGAGAAGATGGGGAACAAAAGTGTTTTGAAAAACAGCACTTCAGATGATTCCGAGTTCCCCGTCTATCAAATTTGAGGACCCGTACGCAAGCGAGCTTTAAGACTGGCCAGAACTGGACTAGCGCAACGGATGGGGAGGATATATACATAGCTTCAGGGATGCTGTGAAGCCCTACGCAGGCAAAAATTCCACCTCAATTGACATTTTGGTGTAAGAGTTCAGACTCCTCTAAAAATGCAGAATGTCTTTGTGTGCTATAATACCATATATACTTTAGGAAAGTAATTTGCTGGCTCCAAAAAATTGAATACATTGATTCCCTATATTCACCACTATATGAAGAAATATATTTATTTGGTCATTGTATTTCTGGCAGGTATAGTTTAGAAATACTTTATTATCTAAATATTTATTTCACAGTTACATATAATTGTATTATTGATAACATTAACCATAACATACTATTAAGTAATATATCCTTTAGGTAATATTTTACTTAAAGCATTATGTTGTTAAATGAATTGTTAAATGTGGATCCTTAATTTTTAAAATAACACTTAGCTCAAAATAACCTTTGTTTGCTTACTATAGCCTATCTTGTAATACAAATATATATTTTAGAACGGTTTTAGATTTATGAGGAAAAATGATTGAAGTTATTAGGAAAAGTTAACATAATTGATGGGTCGAGGTGGTGGTGAGTTGTTGAGAGAAAAGAGAAAGCGCAGGTGAAGCTTTAGAAGGGAATGAAAAGTCTAGAGCAACTGTGTGGTTCCTGTACCCAGACATTCTCATTTGATTGTTTTGGGATGGGCCCCAGGCAGTGACATTTACAAAACTGTGATCTAGGTAATTCTGGCGCGCAACCAGTATTGAAAAAGGGCAAGTAAGAAGCAGGTTCATGAGTCATATTTTGTATTTGTTTTCCTTGAGGAGCAGTGGGAATGGGAGGATTAGTTGAATGATCATGTAGCATTGAGGATCCATTTTGAAACTATAATACCCAACTTCTTCGTGAGGAATCTGCAGAATTAAGTCATTTTCTGCCCCAGTACTAAGCAGTTTAGGAGCAAGAACACCATCTTTAGGTGTTCACATATTTGGTTCATGGATTAGGCAGATGCTTCAAGAGTGCTAGTGAGAGAACATGTTTGAGATGTGTAACTATAGGCCCAACGTTGGAGAGGGGGTGAAAGGAAGCCAGGCAACAGCTGATAAACTAGGTGTGCTATAGTTCAGCTATATCTTCACAGGAGTGAAGAACAGATTTTGTGTAAGAATAGATGGGGTTGAAAATTAGGAAGTTGTCATAAAGGGTTTACCTGATAAAGAATTTACTGAAATATATACAAGGTGATTGTTGATGTTATGGAGAAGCTTGAGGAACCATGAGGCTGTGGCAGTGTCTGGGTCAAATCATGTATGTATGCTGGGGTGACTCAGGACAACAGAGGGGTTGGAGAGGAGGGAAAGTAAGGGCGCCAGCGGAGGGGTGCCTTGGAGTTTGTTAGCTGGGGATGGTAAGTTTATGTCACAGAGTAACATAAATCTCAAAGGAGGGTTTGTGAAATCACTGGATGAGCAGTGGTCTGGCATCTGTTACGGAGCAAGAGAGCGCTGCGCCCTGTGGGGTAGTGGGTGGAGTGGGTCAGAAAGAGCCCAACTAAGGAAAGGTAAAGAGTGTTGGGAAAAGTTATTCCAATAATTTTATTGTATTCTAAATGAAGAAAGACACCCTGTCATAAGCAGCCATACCTCCCCCCTCGTCCGCTTCCTAAACATGAATTGAATTCTAGGTCCTTCTGTGTTAGTGGAATTTTGGGCCATTTTTTAATAAAGCTGCAATAATTTTTATAATTCTGTAGAATCGTTGTAAAGTTCATAGCTATAATTTTAAAATCTTAGGGCTTTTGTTTCTGAGACTTTCTGCATTTTCCTTTTAGACAGTTTCTTCTACAGTTACCTCACGCTTCGATTCTTCACTTGCTTTTAGGTTGGTGAATGAGCTATTGGCTTCCTTGTAAGGGCTCTTAGCAGATCGTTCGGCTCTTCCTTCACACAGTCAGTTTACTCACAAATTTGAGAATTTAATTCTCACCTTCTTAAGTGCTAACATCAAACTCCTGGGCCAAATAAAGTTGTTAATTAAGACTACTCAATACAATTCTCACCTCCCTTCCATACGTGTTAACTTCAACTTCCTTTATCAGATTGTACAAAAGGAAATATTACCCATAATTGCTAAACCTTTCAGATATATTCTGCCATAATGTTACTCATCTTTTCAAGAAGTCACAAAAAATT